CAGACTTGACATATACCTTATGTTTTCTCCATTGACAGACACAATAGGTAGGCTCTGTTTATGTTGCTTAATAACATAAATCAGTCTTCCACAATGATTAGTCGATTCGGCCAGAGCTAATTCATAAGCTATGTTCTAAAAATCACCAGTGATAAAACCCACTGAGAGAGCCACATCTGATCATGACAGTTCTCTTCTCAAACCTTCATCACTTATGAATATATATTATGGCAGACACTCTGGCTGCCACATCTAGATTGTCTTGCACTCTGATAACTTCTTACTGAAAAATATCTGAAGACCAATTTGAGTGCTTTCCCTAGTCATATGGAAGCAGGATAAAAGTGCTATGTGGTTAATGTTTCTGGGAGCATCCCTCAACTAGAGATGGACAGAAGTTGGCTGACATATAACTCCTTTACTTATGCCTTAGTTGGGACAACTTTAAGGCATATTCTATATCATCATCCAGATGTCCCAAAAGTCTGAGTCCCAATTTCCCACAGTGTTAATCTATGTATGAATGTACTGAAATCCTTCTCTTCTGTGTCTCAGTCCACTATTCCCCTAATACCTGGGTTCAACTTCCATATACATTTTTTTTTTTTTTTTTTTTGCACTTGAATCCTTATCTCTGGGTCTGTTTCTTGGGGAATATAAAATAAGACAAAAGTATTTTAGTATTTTCCCACCTACTCTTACAGTTTCATTGCCTTCTTATCTTCATCCAGCAGCCTAAGTCTCATTAACCAAACTTCTAATGTCCAAACATATGTTCTAATGTTTTTCATCTATCTAAGATCTTTCCCCTCTGTTAGAATGCCTTTCCATGATTGCATGTCTGGCTATTCTGCTTTCAAGACATGATTCCATTTCAGATTTCATTCTGTCTAGAGTGACTTTTTGCCTTCCTACCCCAGGTCAGATGCCCCCTCCTCCATGCTTCTAAGCATGGTTCATATATCTATGTTATAATGGACTGTTCCCCAAAATGGTCACAATGATCTCACCATTCTCTTACAACCATCTGCAATGTAACTTTGCAGATCCTCCCATTAAGATGGAGAATCCATTTCCCTTACCCTTGCCTCTGGGCTGGCCTTGTTGACTGGCCTTGATGATAGAACGTGGCAGAAGTTAGCCTTAACCTTAGGAAGACTTTCAGTTTCCATTTTCACTCTCTTGGAAGACAGCCTTTATGTGAGGAAGCTTAGGTTACTCTGCAGATAATGAGATACCACGTGGAGAGGGTGTCCTTGTGAGAGACACAGGTTACCTTGGACAATAGCCAGCACTAAGGTCTTAGATATGTGAGTGGGTCTTTCTTGGCTACACATCAAACACCATGTGGAGCACAAACAAGCCCTGCCCCAATTCCTGGCCCACAGAAATCATGAACAATACAGTAGCTGTTTTAAGCTGTTGAGTTTTTCAGGGGTTGTTATACAGCAATAGATAAACACAGTGTCTATTATAGAACTTACCATTAAAAACTATAATAACTTGTTTACTTGTTTGTCTTTCACACTTGTGAGCTATCTATAAATGGGGACAGAACATATCATCTCAATAGCTGCAGCACTTGACATACGGGAAGGCTTTACAAGGATGATCCCATAAAATTGGGGGCTCATCAGGAAGATCACAGAGAAATCTTGTCACATTGGGGATTTATTTATTTTTATTTTTTTAGAAAATAAGAACCAAAAAACAAGGTACCAGAGAATAAGTGTGGAAGACGAGAGTGAGATGAAAATTCAGAGTAATTGAAAGGGATATCCAAAGCTTTTTTAATTCATGAATTCTCCTAATAATTGGTGGGATTCTTTTATTTTGATCAGTGTGCAGCCTAGATGAGCTACACAGACACTGGTAATAGGGGCCTGTCAGGCAGTGACTGCTGTGTGTAACTAAACTATCAGTCATGGCTCTTACTCCCCAAAAGTTTATGCCATAACACAAAAGCAGATGTACCAGGACACTGTAGATCTCAAGAGGATATAAAGGTGTATACAACAGGAAGGTCAGTTGAGAGGTTATAAGCTTTCTCCTAATAGGTAAATTATAAACTTTTTAATATATCATTATATGTTCCAAGGACAATAGTTTCTTAATACGTATTGGTGCATGAATGAAAGAACAGTAGAATGAACAGAGATACCTCTTAGGGCTCACTGTAGGACACTTTATCATGTAAGACACTTTATCATGATTCAGGATCAAGAACTCACTGAATTATACTAATTCTAACTTCAGGGCATTTTTGTTTGCTAGGAAAAGAAATGATGAGGGAAAATGTCAAGTTTTCTTTCATCTTGTAGGATCAATTTAATAGAAGAAAATGCAGACTCCATCCCATGAAAAGACACCTCTGGAGAAATGAAGTATTAAGAGCACTAAAATCACAAAAACAGGCAGTAAAGTCAAGTTCTAAAAAAGGTCCAGAAAGGAACTCTAGAAGGTTTCCAGAATAGGAAGAGTCTGGCTCGTGTGCCGGTCTCAAGCGTGGGGAAGTGAGCCTGGACTCCAGTGCCAGGGTGTGGAAGCGAGGGTACATTGAAACAGAAAGGAAGGCTTCCCGAGAGACTGCCTAAGAGTGATTTTCAAATTGTTTTCTTTTTTGAAATTTTATTTCAGAGAACTCTGTGTGAACAGAATCTTACAGGGTCCCCCAACATATACCAGAGACAAATGTATTGCCACGTGGTTGCAAAAAAAGCAGGAAGAGAAGAGTGAGGGGATATTCAGAGGAGCAGTAGGACTTCAGATGCTGCTTCATAGGACACTAGGCCAGGCAGGCGGACTTGGAAGACTACTGGCCCAGGATATGTTAGCCTTTACTGACTGCTTGTCAACTATCAAGGTTTTGGTCAAGACCCAGTTTGCTAAGGACCCTAAAGGCAAAATGTACTAAAACTAGTAACAGGATCACGATAGTGAAGAAAACTTCATCCACGTCACGGTGGGGACAGAAGTCCCTTGTCTGCCCTATTACATGAAGATCTCTACGGGGTTCATCCTTTTTGGAAATTTTTATTTATTTATTATTATTATTTTTTTATCCTCACCCGAGGACATTTTTCCATTTTTTGTTCAGATAAAGTGGGGAGGGAAAGAGAGAGAGAGAAACATCGATGTGAAAGAGATACATCGAGTGGTTGCCATCCGCACGACCCAACCAGGGCCGGGGACAAACTGCAACGGAGGTACATACCCTTAGGGAGAACCAAACCCAGGTCTCTCTGGACCGCAGGCCAATGCTCTACCGCTGAACCAAACCAGCCAGGGCTGGAAAATATTTTTAAAGCAAGAATCAAGGATGTCAGTGGTTTCCAATTCCAACTCAGTGACAACTAAATTTATCTGAGCCAGCAGTTTGTGGATGGCCCTTCAGAAAGAGATGTCGGAAAATCTAATAGCAGCCTTGATATTTCTTGCTGTTCTCAGAGAAGCCTCAAAGTCCAAGGCCATTTACAATCTTGTAGGAGCCCTTAGCAATGAATCTTTAGGATCCTGGGTTTTGTTCTTACTTAGGAATGGTTGCAACTATCTACCTAAGTTTCTGACCTGAGACACTAGGAGGTAGTTATAAAACCAAGATAAGTAAAAAGAGAGAAGGGCTTTGAGGGCATCCTTGCCCAAATGAGAGCCCTCAGGATCAGAATAGTTCAGAAGATGAGTAGGCAAATGTCCAGTGTCACGAGTATTTCAGGGACAAGGAGAATCTTGGGTGATAGTCGTCTGAATCAAATACAAATGGCGGGAGCTGAGTGTTTTCTCGTTACTGCACACTCGGTCTCAAATACTCAGCTGGAAGAGGCCAGGCCTGAGATTTTCAGTAGACACTTCTAAGGCTAGGAGAATGCCTTTTGTTAAGAGGGGATCACAGCATCTTCACATACAGCCATGCTCCAGAGTCCCTGCCCCACCACCCCTTCACCTCTTCCAACTGGAATCGCAGATTTAATGTACTGAGTGGTGGACTGGCTCCCAGCGAGCCCAACCTGTCCTGTGATCTTACAACAGTCTGACCTTTCCCCTGGGTGGATGCTGGTTCTCTGGGGATAGATGAGTGATGGAGGACTGTACAGGTTCCCTGCCCAGCCTCTCATTTCCCAACAGTGAAGCTACCTGTTTGGCTATGCTAACTTGCATCTGAAGCAGGTGAGCTCATCCCTGTTACTCAGAACAAGGAGCCAGGGCATCATGTGGGAAGTGGGAACTGCCTTTTCACAAGCACCTCACAGTGCTCCGCTCCCTCTGTGAATAAGCTGATAATATTTCTTTAGTTTCTCCTCCTCCTCCTCCTCCTCCTCCTCCTCCTCCTCCTCAGCCTTGCCCCATCAAACTTTCTGTCCCAGCAGGAGCCGAAAAAAAGTATCAAATGGGAAAACAAAAGTCTGTGTGGTTCCCCTGTGCAGCATATAACAATAAGCCACACTTTGGGAAGTGTCTGGGAAAGGAATGCTGTGATGTCAAGTTTCAAAGAAACACTCTGGCCCCAATCAAATCGTAAGCTGTGACACGCCCCACTAAACACCACTGATAATTCATCTTTCACCCAGAGGGGCATTTCTCCTATATGGGGAAAATGCCATTCATACCACATAATCTCAGCAAGTTTCAGTTTATTTCCACTTCCTCTTCTTCTTATGAAGTATGATGAAGGTAGCCTGTCATGATTTCCTGATGGACTGAACTTTAGCTGAAAAGTTTGAGCCTTTACAAGTCTGCCCCCGAAATGCTTGAGAGAAAATAAAAGCCTAGTAGGTGTGTTTGTACTTTCAAGGTTTAAATCGCTCTTGGGACTATGTATGTCCTCTCTTGTACAGAGAAGAAATTCTCTCCTCAACCCACATTCTAAGCTGTTTGGTAGCCAAGCATATGAAATTAGCTGAAGTGAAGAATCAAAACACATAACACTTTATAAGAAGGACTTTCAGTTGGAACAGCTTGACAAAGAAATATTGAAACGTTCTGGTCATTCAGTCAGCTCTTACCTGGGCTTCTCTCACTGCCCCGTTCCTTCTGCAGTCTCCGTTCTGCGAGCTGTCACTCTGTTTCCTGTGACTGTGGAGATGCCCATTGCAAACAGCGCTGCCTCCAGAATTGGCCATTTGTGTGAAATGATGGAACCCAGCAGGTTTCCCCCGTGGTTATTGGCAAGCTTCGGTTTTGAAGTTGATGAGGGGATGGCATAAAGGTCTTCGGGCTGAGCCTTTGGAGGAATCCTACCAATCAGGCTTTTCCAGAAAAAGAGCAACCATATCTTTTGGGGAGATCTTTGAAACTGAAAGCAAACTGTTACCTTTCCACTCCTCAACTCAGAATGTGGCTTCCGTGGCAACAAACTAGCTCCTGAAACTACAGAAGAGACTGCCCACGTTGGCTCCTCTTGTGGACTGAGGAAATCAGGAGACTGCAAAACCCAGTGGCAAACTGTGAGGGGGCGGGCTGGGAGGAGGAAGTCTTTTAAAGACACACACACACACACACACACACACACATACACACACACCACACTCAAATGGAGTTTTTTTATGTGCATATAGTCAGTTCTAAATTCACGTCTATCTCCCACCTTCCTCTCCTGCATCTAATCACATTTTTGGTTGTAAATCAAGCTCAAAGCCTATATATATATATCTATCTATATATATCTATATATATAGATAGAGATATATATATAGATAGATAGATATATATATATATATTTTTGCTGTAAAATAACATTCAGAAGTGATTGCCAGGAGCTGGAGGAAGGAGAAAATAGGAAGTTACTATTTAATGAGCACATAGTTTTAGTTGGAGAAGACAGACAAAGTTTTGGCAATAGATGGTGGTGATGTTTGCACAACAATGTGAATGTACTTAATGCCACAGAACTGCACACATTAAAATAGTTGAAATAATAAATTTTATGCGATGCATATTTTACCATAATACAAAAATGGCAAAAAAAATATTCAGGACCCATCTAATGTTAAACCCACCTAATGTTTAACTTAATGTTAAAACCAATGACATAATGACAGGTACTAACTCATCAAGAATTCCTGTAAGTCAGAAGTCTGGAAGACAGAAGAGTTGGTTTCTTATCATGGCTAATTTACCTTTACCAACCATGTGACCATGGAGAACCATTCTCTTTCTTTATGCCTCATTTTCTCTACCTATAAAATGAGATACATTTTTTTTTTTTTGTGGGCTAATACCTGATGGGGTGGTAGGAAAATAAAACATTGGTTTGGCTTTTTTACTGACACCAGTGTTGGAAGGCAGATAGTGTCTGAGTGTCCCAGTCCCAAAACTTCTGGTTTACTTATTAACTCTTAATCCTAATGCACCAGTCCCTGGGGTTCTGTTTTCTTCTATCACTGTCAAATGGCATTGTAGTGATATGGTTTGCTGGACAGTGTTAATTATTTAAACTCTAAAGCCTGTTGAGTCCTCCCAAGTCCACTTGCATTGTTCTCTTGAATCAAGGCTTCTCCTTCCTCCTTCTCTATCTCCTTTCTTTTTTTCTTTTAAGGTTTTTAAATTTACTTATGAGAGAGAGAGAGAGAGAGAGAGAGAGAGAGAGAGAGAGAGAGAGGAAGGGAGAAGGAGATGGAGAGAGAGCAACACATAGATCGATGCCTCCTTCAAACCCCCTGGCACTGATCGAGCCTGCAACCCGGGCATGTGGCGTGGTATGGAATTGAACCAGCTACCTTTTGGTACACGGGATGAGAATCAACCAACCAAGTCACACCAGCCAGGGCCTGAACCAAGGCTTCTTTAATATCAAGCACGTAGAAAAAAAACAAAAAACAAAAAAAACATTTTTGGGTCAATGAACCAAAACAGAGATGAAACAAAAAGAAAAAGACAAAATAGGCCCTGTTGTCAAAGCCTGATTTCCTGGCTCTCAGCTTACACAGGGTTTGTTTTCCCTCCAGAAAGAGGTGACTGACAGAGGACGTGGTGATCATGCTTTTCCTAAACATGATTTGCTTGTGAGGGTTACCATTTTTTCCATCCCCTGGAGAGCTGAAAGAATAAGAACTTGGAACAAATAATGGGATGGAGTTAATACCCTTTGGGTCTCCAGCTCAGAATTGTTATTGCATCTCTTCTAACTGTTGTCATCAGAGCAGAACTAGCTTTTTAGTAGTCTCTCTGTTCCATGGCCATTACACTGGGAGTTGGAAGCTAAACCTGTGTTGTTGGCTTATTTTCTTCTAGACTTATGCAAAAGAGAGGTAGAAGGGTAGGAGAGAGTGCTGATAACTGTTGGCCTGGCAGTTTCAACTTACTTAGAAAGACACGTGAAAGACACTGTAATTTTAACTAAGCTCTAGTGACCTGTAGAAAGTTTTTTTAAATAAGGATTTTGAGATAAAACTAAATTATGAACATTAGATATTTCCTTTATTTCTCCTCTTTCTTTTTCTCTGTCCTGTCTTAAATTTTTTCTTTTCTCCTACTTCTCCTCTTCCTCCTCTTTTCTTTCTTGTTTTTATTTATTTTACTTTTACAAAGGAACAAAAAACATACATAAAAAAATCTCAAAACAGAGCTAAAAACTGCTTTACTCGCCCCCCCCCCCCCCAATCCCAATTTGCCAAGTTTAGATTATCACATTTAGATCTTTAGGAAACGTCTACCACATATTCTCACTCTTGAAACTTTACTACTTGCCATATTGGAATATGTGAATTTCTGTGTACACAGCATCAGCTGAACATTCCAAGAATTTGGCATCAGATACTGAGGTTATGCATCATCAGTAGTGGCTCATTTATATCATCTCCACTGAAAATAAATGTGGAGATCTGTTTGAGCGAGTGGTAGCTTTGAGTGTAAGATCATTGATTGCTTATAGTCTGAATGTTTGTCCCTCCTCAAAATTCATATGTTGAAATGTTAACTCCCAAGGGGATAGTATTAGGAGGTAGGGTTGTTGTAAGGTAATTAGGTCATGAAAGTGGAACCTCATGATGGCAATAATGCTCTTTTTTTTTTTAAAAAAAAATATGTTTTTATTGATTTTTTAGAGAGAGAGATAGAAACACTGATGTATATTGATCAGCTGCCTCCTACTGGGGACTGAGTCCACAACCTGGGCTTGCGCTCTCACCAGGAATCGCATCAGGAGCTCTCAGTCCATGGGACTATGCTCAATTCACTGAGCCACACCGGCTGGAAGGCATTAGTGCTCTTATAGAAAGATGTCCAAGCCCAGCTGGTGTGGCTCACCAAGAGGTCGCCAGTTCAATTTCCAGTCAGGGCACATGCCCAGGTTGTGGGCCCAATCCTCAGTGGGGGGTGTGCAGGAGGTGGCCAGTGGATTTCTTTCTCATCGATGTTTCTATCTCTCTCTCCCTCTCCCTTCCTTTCTCTCTAAAATCAATAAATAAAAAAACAAAAAATAAATAAAAGAAAGATGTCCAAGAAACTCCCTTGCCCCTTCAGCCATGTGAGATTACAGCAAAAAGATGTCCTTCTAGGAAGAAGGTCCTCACCAGACACCAAATTTTCTGGTGCCTTGATTTTGGACTTCTAGGTCTTTAGAACTGTGAGGAATAAAATCTGTTACTTATGAGCTATCCAGTTTATGGTATTCTTTTAGCAACTAGAATAGGCTAAGACATTGATCAGACTAAATATTGAGTATGATTTGTTATATCTGAATAATTAAATGTATTTCAAATCAACCAGTAAACCCAACAAATATTTGAAAAACTATTATATACTTGGTTACTTGCTCAGTGTCCCATTTCAACAAAGAACAAGACACAGGCAGTCTTCATCCTCAGACAACTAGGGGTTCACAGCACCTGCACATCTTCCGCCCAAGATCTCTCATTACTGAAGGTAAAAATAAATCTGTTTTTTAGTGTATTAAGGACAATGACCAGATTAGTTAACTATGGCTTTGTGGTATTCCCTTAAGGTACATCGTTACCCAGACACCAGCTTCCAGGGGTAAGCAAGAAAGGGAAGTTCAGAGACTTGGTGATGTGTTCCAAAAAATCTCTGGGAACCTCTTGGAAAGTTGACAGAAAAAGGAGGAAATGAGCAAAATTAATGGTCTAAATTGTAGTGTCTAGAACTCTGCTCATTGAATCAATCTTTACTTAGGTAATGGAGGGTAATGATAATGCAAAAACTAAAGTTCCAACAAGTTAAGTGGCTTTTCCAAAACCAAAAGAATATGTGGCAAAAGTAAGTCACGAATGCCAGGATTTCTGAGTCCAGAGCAAGTGTCTTTTCCTTAATACCATGATGCCTCTCCTTTAGCTGTTGTCTTAAATACACCAATAAAGAACAAAAATAACAAAAACTGTTATGATTTCAGAAATATCATTGAATTGGCCAAATAACAAATAAAAATAGTTTCTTTTGCCTTACTACTTCATTAAAATCCTGTCATCTATTAAATAGAACAAAGATCTAGTGACATCTCCTTATCTGCTAGGATTTAATAGCCTAAGATTCCTCTACAGGGAAGAATTTAACTTTTCTAAAAAGCAGTCTGGAAAATTCTCATAGAAGGCCAGATACCAACATTACAGATGTCAGATGTCAGGGTTTTTGTTTGTTTGTTTGTTTTTTCTTTTCTTTTCTTTCTTTTAGAACATGGCTAATAGGATGGCAATTTTTTTTTTTTTTTTTTTTTTTTTAAGTTGGAAGAAACATGTTATTAATGACTACTACCCCAAGGTCAGGAGCAGTGTAAAATTTCTGCCTTCCTTCTAGGGAGTAGTGTCCATGCAAGTCCTTGTAGTAGCAATTGGCAGAATTCCCCTGAGCCAAGAACAGGCTATCATCCTCCCTATGGATATCATAACTGTAACTCTTTGCCTGTGAAACTGAAGTTCTATTAAAAACAAAAAACAACAACAGTAAAGAAACAAAACATCCAGGATTTAGACTCTCAAATATAGAGCTGGGCACTTCTAAGAAGTACTCAAGAACCACTATCACACTACTAGTCCAGATGCTTGGGGATGAACATCTCGAAGTTACTATATTTGGGGACAGTTATCTGACTTTGTTAATTAAAATAACACTTTTATTTCTGCAAATATTAGTTTATCTGTTTCTTTAGGGGTGGGGGGTTATTTGTTCAAGGCAATGATGTTTTACTTAGGTGGGATTTAAATTAATATTTAGCATATTAAATTACAAATTGACAACTTAGTTAAGTACCATCTATAACTCTTGTTATAGCTTCTGTATGAACTAAGAATAGTTTTGTGATTGTTAATTGATATTTGATTAACATAAGTTGAGTAGGCTAAATTCTCCTTAAACAAACGAGTGCTACTTATAAACTTAATGCATTGCGTTGAAATATTGAA